GTTGATCTGAGTCATCGTCTTATTAAGCAAGTACTACCGGATAATTTCTAAAATATGCGAAAAATTTATTTGACACCACTAAGAGATTTACGTTAAATTTTCCTAGAATTTAATTTGATGATCACAAAATCGGCAACTTTAATTCCTATATTTGTCAAAAAAAAAAAATGATCGGCGGAGGTCCTTTGAGCGAAATTTTTTTACTTTAATGTTTTTTATATATGTATATTATATATATAATATATATATATAGGAGGAAAAATAAAATTGATAATGGATTCATTAGAGTAAAATCATGAATTAGGCTTATGTGTGTCACCTTTGCTGCATGTTAAATTAAGCCATCAAATAATAGTTTTTTGATAATTCTTTTCAAAATTTTCGAAAAATAACAAGTGATCATCATACTGGAACATCAAAGTAATTATCGAAACTTTCATAAAATAATAAAACTGAATGCCATTTAAGCATTTTTTTTCTTAGGTTAATATAAAAAAATGTCATTTCGGCGTTTTTTTTTTATAAATTGATATGAAAATGCTGAAACGGCATTTTTTTCATAAGTCAAATGAAAAAAAAGGCTGAAACGGCATTTTTTTCATAAATTGATATGAAAATGCCGAAATGGCATTTTTTCACAAGTTGATATAAAAAAAACGCTGAAACGGCATTTTTTTCATAAATTGATATGAAAATGTCATTTCGGCATTTTTTTTCTTAGGTTAATATGAAAAAAATGTTGTTTCGGCGGTTTTTTTCATAAATTGATATAAAATGCCATTTCGGTATTTTTTTCATAAAAAAAAACGCTAAAACGGCATTTTTTCCATAAAATAATATGAAAATATGAAAAAAAGCCGTTTTCGGCATTTTTTCCATTAAAAAAATAGAAAGATGCTGAAATGGCATCTTTTCTCATAAAATAATATGAAAAACATTTTTTTAAAAAAATTTAATCTTTATTAGTATTGCGGAAATTGCCAAAGCAATGACTGCAACATATCAGTAAGGCATAAGCGAATCCTATGAATTGAATCTAATCCCGGAATAGTTGCATTTTATACACTTTACGCGTGTTAAACAACAGAAGAGGCCCAAAGCTAAACATGACCCCTGCTGTCAGTACTATCTAATAATCCAATATCACACCACCAGGAACTTAACTTTGTTTCTAAAATTTTTTACGTAAAATCACGTGACTTTGGAAAAATAAGATCCTGTTAATGTCACCTTTCTAATTTTAGATTCCAAAATGTATGAATTGCTTATAATTGCTCGTAATCATTTTGAAACCAAAAAATTTTTCATAACAATATATACACTAAAGTATAAACTTAGATGCTTTAAGTTGAAAGTTCATGTCAAATCTAAAATTGAAAGCTAAATTAGCACAACTTGTATGACTTTATAGCCACCATTTTATTTATAAAATGACTGACAGAACTGTTCCAGCTACTGTATCTTAAAAACAAAAATAAATAGAATGCTATTTCTTATTATAAATTTCACAGCTCCCCATGAATGATGGACTCTTGTTAATAATCATAACAACAATGTAAAAGTTTATGAATCTATTTTCTGACGAATACCAAATTTTTTAAATTCAAAAAAAAACTGTTTAAAGTATATTAAAGACGCAGATATCAAATCTATCTTATGATAATGACTATCAATGAAACAATATATGGATAATGGAAGTTTTTCAAGTACTAATTTAAGGGAAAAAATCATTTTTTTATCATTTTTATTTATGGATAGTATACAATAAAATCAACCGATTGTGAACATCAAAAAAAATTAGCAAAATTAGAGTATTTCATAAATTCATTCAAAGAAATATCATACCAAATTCCAACATGTTTAGAATGGATAGAAAAATTAAAATTGTCAAATGTATTGTAATTTTTTAGATAGGATAAGAAGCAAGTGGATGGGTTATAATATACTATAAGACGGTTAGCACAATTTTTATAATATAACAAATAGTCTATTAACATTCTAACAAGTTTCCTTAACTATAATATTTATTTTTTTTATTTTTTATTTTATTCATACTTCTTTAAGGATTAAATTGTTAAAAATTGAAGAGTTTTGCTAACTTGCCCCCCGGGTTAAATAACCCAGGTTAAATCACCCCCTAAAAATTTATATTTTACACCAATCAATTTTGATTGGTTAATTTAATTTATTTACGTTACTGAAAATTTGCAACACTTTTATTCGCAAAGTTTTTTTGTACTATAATGGTTTAAAAACATTTAATCAAAGTTTATTAATTAGAAAAAACTCATACTTTATTTATTTTTAACAGGACTAGTAATTATGGTACATATACACAAAAAAATACATGACAATAATAAAGCAAACAAAAGAACAAAGCTATAAGAATAAAGAATGAAACTCATGTAAAAAGTTAAAGAATGAAATGATGATGAAACCTATGAAACCAAAAAGTAAAATTCGTGACAGAAAAGTAAAAAATATTAAGTCAAAGAGCAGTATAGAGTAAAGAAAAGATAGTTAGTAAAGAATAAAAATTAGAAAATAAGCAAAAACCTAAATATTAAAGAATAAAAAAAGATACCCACCAAAAAGAAAAAAGAAAAAACCCCATAATTAAGTTTAAGAGTGAACCCAAAAAAAGTTAATGACCAAATAAAAGCAAGTTAAGAGCAAAACGCGTCATATAATGTTGAAGAGAAAGGAGTTAAAGAATGGCATAAAGAAAAGAAAATATAGTTAGTAAGGAACAAAATTAAAAAACAAACCCAATAAAAAAAGAGAACGTACCTTTTTAACACGTTAAGATATAATATTGTATTAGAAATTGTAAAACCTGGAAGAGCCTAAAAAAATGTACTAAAGAAAAAATAAGAAAGCAGATAAAAATAATAAACAAAAAAAGGAAATAGAATGGGAAAAGGAAGGAAAATAAAACGAAACAGAGAGAAAAGAAAAAAAACAAGGGGGAAGGAAAAAACGAAAAAAATAATATAAACATATGGTGTAACTACAAATATTAATCAAATTTATCACATGATAGGGGTGAATAATTCATATAATTATATGAAATTTACTAGTAAATTAAATCACCCAGGTTAAATCACCCTGGGTTAAAATTAGTCTTATACAATATTAAATAATAAGAGGAAAAATTCAAACACATATCAACTATTGTAAATTCAATTTAGTTTACAAGTTGAAATACTTCATATTCTTCCACAGAAAATATATCATCAGATTCTCTGATATGCTTTTCGTAATCAGCACCATTACAACAACCGGTATCTCCATATAAATCTAGATCACAGATACCAAATGTTGGACCAAAATCACTACGGTTATACGTGGCATGATTTTCACGTTCTACACGACTTAAAATATAACTTTCAATATCAACACTATTCTCAAAAGAGAATATAAAGCTATCTTTAGTAGTACCAAAATTTTCTTCATCTAATTCATCATCAGATTCATCAGATTCATCAAATTCATTAGATTCCCACGCAATTGGATTATATCCTCCAAGAATTTCATTACTATCTTTCACTTTGATAATTGTTATAGTACGAAATTGATTATCACAGATTTCATGAAATGTTTTAGGTGTAAACCCATCACGAGATCCACGAAGTAACAATTGGAATTTGTACGCTTTTTCTATCTCATCTGTAATTTCTAATCTATCGATCCATTTTGAAATTAATTCGGCATGTTGAATTGTAATAATTTTGGAATTAATATAAATTTCATTAGCAGTCGTCATACGAGGTTTTGGTTTTTTATTAGGATTCATAAAATATTTTAATAAGTCTTCATATAATAAATCCTTTGGTAAAATTTTCCTGTAAGGTAATACTTTATCCGAAAATTCTTCAGAAGACAAATTATGAAATCTGATGAATGGAATACATTGACGTACATTATTCTTTAAAGTTTTGAAATCTTCTTTTGAAATATTTGTAATATCAAAAGGAAGTTCAGGACTTTGAGCAAGTCCCCATTTTAGCACATGTTCCCATACTTGAATTTCCCTCATTTAAAATAAAAGAGTTCACCCTTATACCCTTACACTTCTATTGTAATAGTAATGTTTCACTTAAAGATTCCTAAGTATAAAATCTTTAAGGAATTTTTGTAATTATGATTTAAATTAAATTGTAAATTTAATATCGGGAGATTATGTATCACGTGTATCACATATATAGTATTAATGATTATCGATCTTTCTTTCAAATACACGTTCTTCTCTCTCTCCCTTCCCAGTCTCTCATTTTTTCCATACATGTAAGTGTGTGGTATATGTGTTTATTTCAACGAAACATTATGCAAATGTTAACTAGTGTTTTGTTTCTTTTTCCTCTTTTTAGATATCCGGTTTTTCAGGTATTTGAATGGAGACTTTCGGTAAGTAAAAAAAAATTAATTCAACATTTTTTTATATTTACTAACTGTTCATTTCTCTTCCTTTTTTAGGCGTTTTTCGAGTCTTTTTGGACGTAGGACTGGTAAATAAAAAAAAAATTTTTTTTAAAATTTTTTTTTTATATTAATAAGCATTACTAACTTCATTTTATTTTTTTAGGCGGTTTTTGAGTCTCTTTTAATGTGGGACCGTTAAGTAAGAAAAAATTTTTTTTTTTATTTTTTATATTAATGAACACTATTNAATAATTCTTCTTATTGTGGTGGGGTCACGACCCATTTTTCTTGCTATTTGTGCAGGGTTAAAATTCTCCATATATGCTAGTATTTTTCCTTTATCTTGAGAAGTTAACTCAATTCTATGTGACATTATTTTTTTAACTTTGCAACGCGTTTATTAGGTTATGAAATTGTGAGAAAAACATTTAAAAATAAAAAAAAGGGGGTATAAATAATGTAAATTTTGTGTATCGTAACACCGTACAAAATCGGGCGTCACTTTCGGACCTGACTGTACATTATTCTTTAAAGTTTTGAAATCTTCTTTTGAAAAATTTGTAGTATCAGAAGGAAGTTCAGGACTTTGAGCAATTCCCCCATTTTAGCACATGTTCCCATACTTGAATTTCACTCATTTGAAGATTATCACTTTGAATAAGTGAAACTAAAAGATTTTCTGAAATTGAAGAAAAATTTGGTGATTTGAATATTTTATCCGGCTCTTTAGACGTTAAATCAGTACAAAATTTCTGAAGTTCCAAGAAAGAATCATTCTCAAAGCTCGTTTGATATATCAAATTAAAATTTGATTCCATCCAATCTGCTTTAGTTTTAACCAAAAAGGATTGTATATCAACGATTAGTTCTTTGAGACCGAATTCATTCGCAGCACACAAGACGTAAATTATATCAGAAGTATCATATTCCTCCAAGGAAATTCTTCCACTATAAATATATCTAAAAAATAAAAAAGCGTAAATTTAAATATGTTGTTATATTTTGTAATTTTAATTTAATTCTTTTTTCTTCTTAATTATTACCTTAAGATTATTTGAAAAGTCTCAGGTAAAATATTTGATAATTTTATATGAACCAAAGTCCCATCATTATTCTTTTTATTTGTTGACAACATTCTTCGTAGATACGTGGAACGATAATGTAGGATAACCATATGAGCATGAAATATCTTTATGTAAGGGTCATTACCAACTTCAATAGTAACATCATAATATTCTTCATCATTTAAAATGTCAAGTAAATTTTGAGATAATTTCGGTAAAAATTTATTATCATTCATAATTTTAATAAATTTTTTAAAAAAAATGGAATGAAAGGATTAACAACTTTGTTAAATAACTTTTTATATAAATTGCTGCTGCAGCTTGTTGATCTGAGTCATGTCTTATTAGGCAAGTACTACCAGATAATTTCTAAATATGCGAAAAAAATTGATTAATAATCATAACAACAATGTAAAAGTTTACGAATCTATTTTCTGACGAATACCAGATTTTTTAATTTTTTAAACTTATTTCGATTTTAACTTAAATTCAAAAAAAAAAAGTTTAAAGTATATTAAAGACGCAGATATCAAATTTTTGAGAAATTTATCTTATGATTAATCTCTAGTTAGTATTAATATTATTATAAGATGATTTCTATTTGTACACTATGTGTGTGAATATGGGTTGGATCATATAATTATAATAAACTAGGGAAACGGTAAACCGTTACGTAGTCCGGAGCTTATCAGTATATAGGTAGATAATCACATGCTCAATTAACCGATCGAGATAATTTCGTGTGATATAAGAGCCAATTAAACGTCGACTCAATAAATCGGCCGTATTTCGTCTTCATCCCTCCAATTATACCCTTGTTGAATTTTGATTCTAGAATCAATATTAATTTCTTTAGTAGACATACGAGGTTTTGATTTTTTAATTGATTGGTTATTAGGATTTATAAAATATTTTAACAAGTCTTCATATAATAAATCCTTTGATAAAACCTCTAACAACTCTACTATATGTACCTCTACCTCTACTTCTTTCATGATAAATCGGCCGTATTTCGTCTTCATCCCTCCAATTATACCCTTGTTGAATTGTGATTCTAGAATCAATATTAATTTCTTTAGTAGACATACGAGGTTTTGATTTTTTAATTGATTGGTTATTAGGATTTATAAAATATTTTAACAAGTCTTCATATAATAAATCCTTTGGTAAAATCTTCCTGTAAGGTAATACTTTATCCGAAAATTCTTCAGGAGATAAATTATGAAATCTGATAAATGGAATACATTGACGCAAATTATTCTTTAAAGTTTTGAAATCTTCTTTTGAAAAATTTGTAGTATCAGAAGGAAGTTCTGGACTTTGAGCAAGTCCCCATTTANCTTTGAATAAGTGAAACTAAAAGATTTTCTGGAATTGAAGAAAAATTTGGTGATTTGAATATTTTATCCGGCTCTTTAGACGTTAAATCAGTACAAAATTTCTGAAGTTCCAAGAAAGAATCATTCTCAAAGCTCGTTTGATATATCAAATTAAAATTTGATTCCATCCAATCTGCTTTAGTTTCAACCAAAAAGGATTGTATATCAACGATTAGTTCTTGGAGACCAAGTTCACTCGCAGCAAGCAAGACGTTAATTATATCAGAAGTATCATATTCCTCCAAAGAAATTCTTCCACCATAAATATATCTGAAATAAAAAAGTATTACATTATTATATAATTATTTTGTGATCTAAATTTTTGTAATTTAAATTCAAGTTCTTTTCTTTACTCTTACCTCAAGATTATTTGAAAAGTTTCAGGTAAAATATTTGATAATTTTATATGAACTAAAGTTCCATAATTTTACTTCTTATTTGTTGATAAAATTCTTCGTAAATAAGTGGAACGATAATGTAAGATAACCATATGAGCACGAAATATCTTTATATGAGGGTCATTACCAACTTCAATAGTAACATCATAATATTCTTCATCATTTAAAATGTCAAGTAAATTTTGAGATAATTTTGGTAAAAATTTATTATCATTCATAATTTAATAATTTTTTTTAAAAAAAATGAAATGATTAACAATATAAATGTCGAATGCTTAACCTTATATATAGTTGCTGCTGCAGCTTGTTGATCTGAGGCATCGTCTTATTATACCGGATATAGGTCTGTGATGATTCCAACCCGAATAATAATAATCTGAATCGAATGTTAAAAAACAAATTTTATCAATGTATGACTTTTATATTTTTTCTTATGTTTTATCTTGTAATAAAAAATTTTCAAAAACTGCATTTTATTAGTAGTACTCGTATGGGTTAATCTATCAAATGTCACATCAAAACAATGTGATAAAATTGCATAAATTCAAGATCATCACAAATATAACCAATCAAAAATTGGCACATTTTAGTGTAACGAATGAGAAAAAAAATTAATGAACGCGAAAGTAAAGAAAGTAAAGCTGTTCTTTTATATAAGAAATTATTAATCTTTAAAGTAAATAATAATAGTTAAATGAAAATATGACATATTATTTATACTTTTACTTGAAATACCTAATCTAATGAAAAAAACAATAAATATTTCGCTAAATCTCAAAATAGAAAATTTTTTTGAAAAAAAATAAAAAAAAATATATCTTTATTACAAAATTGTCAAATTATCATTATTATAAACTATAACTATAACACCAAGAGATAAAATTAACACCCTAGAAATATATTATTTATTGTATAATATGTATAATATATAATAACTATAATATTCGGAATCTTAAAAATGCTCTAAGAAATTATATAATACAAAACTGCTGTTAAAATGTTTCAATAATATTGCAATAATGTTGTAAAGCAAAGCTAAAAAAAAATAAGAAAAACAACTATTAGGAATCGTTCGTTAAAATAAAAAATTAAAAAAAGACAAAATTGCCAAAATTCGCATCTAAGGAGAATGAAAAAATCACCTAAAAAAAAGAAAAAATTGAAACGCTGGAAACGTTTTGTTAAGGTTTTTCAACTAAAAGTGCAAGGGATGCGGGAAAAGAGGAAGAAAAGAAGTTGATCAACTGCGGACTATGCACGTAATAGTCGTAATACACGTGATACACATTCCCCAATGTACAGTACAATCAGTACATACATATTGTATATATATATATCTATTATACGAAAATCCCCTCCTCTGTAAACATGTAAACAGGTAGAGATCATTAGTACCTATAGGGGGAGAGCATTCCGCCTGTTTATAGTGACAAAAAGAGGGAGTCTTCAGTAGTAAAGTTTAATATAATAATAAAAAGTAAACTGAATAAAAAAATTGCCATTGATAGTTATTTTTATGAATTTTTTTATGAATTTTTTGATTTTCAATAATAAAAAATTACGAAAAAAATTACTTTTATTTAAAAAAATTACATTTAAAAATTGTTATATTATTGCTTCTATACAGTCGAAATGAAGTGAAACGAAGAGAATCTATACTTTACAAATAATTTTTTTTCGAAAAAATCCACACTTTTTAAAATTAAAAAAAAATAATTAAATGTATTGCTTCCATATATCCAATTTTTATTTTTATTTTTGTATAAAAAAGTGAACGAAGCTACAGTAAAGATAAAACAAAAAAAATTAATTCGTCAATAATCTAGACTCACTGTAAAGTCAAACCGCTACCAAGGCGATGCCACTTTGGTGGAAAAATAAAAAAATTATTTCGGTATTTATAAAATTTCGGTATTTATGGTAAAAACAAAAAAAAAAAAAAAATTAATATTACATGGCTGGTTAGTTGCGGCAACCGAGAGAGCGCAAACGAAATACAAGACAAATTTTCAAGGACCGGATTGGACCGGATCAATTCAACTCTAGATCTAACCTTGATTGATATCGTGCATTCCAATTTAAAATCGGTACCAATGATTGAATTTCATAAAAATTGCACGTACATCTTTTTGCCATATCTCATAATTTACTATATTCTGTATTGATTTAATTATTTCAAACTATTTTTTATGCAGAAATTAGGTTTTTTATACACCAAATTTCCATGATCAATCAAAAGTAGATTGATTTTAATCGAGGCAAATATTTTCGTGATCTAACACTCAAGGTGTTATAACATATAATTTTAATTTATTAAGTAGTCGATTAAAGAAATTTATTTTAGTATTACAAAATTTTATAATTTGTTAAAGAAACTAATTTAATACAAAATTTTAGCAATTTTTACGAAAAGTCATTCATAAAATATAAAAGTTTGTCAAGAGATAATTGAGTATGGAAAAGTTAAATTTTATCTAAGGTTCTTTAACTAATAATAAAAAGGATTTTCTTAAAAATAAAAAACTCTGGTTATGCGCTAACTTTTCTTGTACACATACTGGTTTGTATATTTCCTGGCGATTGTTCATAATATTTTGAAAGGAAATAAAGATACAATAAATAAAAAATCTGATATTAATTACTACGAATTATTATTTAAAACATCCAAACCAACTATGATGATTTTCAAATAAATCAAAATTGCAGACATCAAATGATTGACCATAGTTACATACAACTATATTCTTCAATCTTTACACAACTTAATATGTAATTTTCAGTATCTTCACTATTCTTAAAAGAGAATATAAAAACTATTATTGGTAAGAATATATTTTTATGGGAATTCTATTTAATTGGATTATGTCCTCTAAAAATTTCTTTACTACCTTCAACTTTTATAATTGTTATAAGTACGAGATTGATCGTCACAGATTTCATGAAATTTTTGAAATTTTAAATCCATTAACGAAGTAAAGTTTGAATTTGGCTTGTTTGTGAAGTTGCTACCTTTATAAGATTTCCGTTCAATAGGATTATATCTACTAGAATTTTATATTATCTTTCACTTTAATCATTACTACAATATGAGATATCACAGATTCCATAAAAACTTTTAAGTACAAATCCATTACGAGATCGCAAAATAATAATTTGAATTTGTACTCATTTTCTCTCATTTGTAATTCCAATCTATCGATTCATTTGATATTAATACATGTTGAAACATAAATTCCTTTATTACACTTGTAAAATTGATCTCATACCTGAGTTTTATATATACCTGTTGTCTTATGAATGTTTTACATCGAAAATTATTTGACATACTTCACACATTTCAATTTTAATTAAATTCATATTTAAAGAAAGATTAAAATACAGCAAAAAGCAACATTATTTTAAAATATCATTATATCTTCAAATTAAATAATGATCATTTATAGTATCATATACAATAATTTTGATGGTGTCGAACCTCGAACGTTTATTAATAAATGTAAGTAATATTAAATAAAATTTAAGTAATCACCTATTATTTCTTTTTCTTAAATTTTTACATAGTTTAATTGAGATTCTTTAACCACTAAGGAAGGTTTGCTTAAAAATAAGATATTAGATATGCATTGATTTTTTTTTGTATACATAAGGTACTAGTTAATCAATCATTACGATAATAATAACATATTTCTTCTTATTTTCCTGACGGATATATATTTTAAAATAAAATGCTGTAAATAAAACAACTATCAATATCAACTATTACAATTTAATCTTCTCTTATAATTTGGAATACTTCATATTCCTCCACATAAAAAACATCAGTAGTTTCTCTAATTTTTTTTTCAAAATTACGATTAATACAAGTACCGTAGTCTCCAAATAAAGTGAGATCACCACCAAATGATGGTCCAAAATCATGATAGTTTAGTATTGCTTGTATTTCTCTTTTTACACGACCTAAAATATAACTTTCAATATTATAACTGTTCTTGAAAGAGAATATAAACCTATCTCTAATAGATTTATAAATTTCACTCTCTTTATTAGATCTCCATTCAATATTATTTTTATCCATTGTACGCCACTCAAGTGGATTATATCCACCAAGAATTTCATTACTATCTTTCACTTTAATAATTACTACAGTATGAGATCGATTATCACAGATTTCATGAAATTTTTTTGGTGTAAATTCGTCTCGAGATCCACGAAGTAATAATCTGAATTTATATACATTCTCTATTTCATCCGTAATTTCTAATCTATCGATCCATTTTGATATTAACTTGACATGTTGAATTGTAATGATTGTAGAATCTATATTAATTTCTTTAGTAGGCATACGAAATTTTGATTTTTTAATTGATTGATTATTAGGATTCATAAAATATTTTAATAAATCATCATATAATAACTCTTTTGGTAAGATTTTCCTGTAAGGTAATACTTTATTCGAAAATTCTTCAGAAGATAAATTATGAAATCTGATAAATGGAATACATTGACTGATATTATTCTTTAAAATTTTGAAATCTTCTTTTGAAAAATTTGTAGGATCAGAAGGAAGTTCTGGACTTTGAGAAAGTCCCCATTTAAGCATATGTTCCCATACTTGAATTTCGCTCATTTGAAGATTATCATTTTGAATAAGTGAAACCAAAAGTTTTTCTGGAATTGAAGAAAAATTTGATGATTTGAATATTTCATCCGGTTCTTTAGACATTAAATCAGTACAAAATTTCTGAAGTTCTAATAAAGAATCATTTTCAAAACTTGTTTGATATATCAAATTAAAATTTGATTTCATCCAATCTGTCTTAGTTTTAATTAGAAAGGATTGTACATAAGTGATTAGTTCTTTGAGACCAAATTCACTCGCAGCAGACAAGACGTTAATTATATCTGAAATATTATATTCCTCCAAAGAAATTTTTCCACCATAAATATAACTAAAAAAAAAAGAATAAATTTCAATACGTTATTATATAAACATTTTGTTATTTAAATTTTGTAAAATTCTAACTATTCTTAGTTCTTACCTCAAGATTATTTGAAAAGTTTCAGGTAAAATATTTGATAATTTTATATGAACCAAAGTTCCATCATTTTTCTTTTTATTGGTTGATAAAGTTCTTCGTAAATAAGTGGAACGATAATGTAAGATAACCATATGAGCACGAAATATCTTTATATAAGGATCATTACCAACTTCAATAGTAACATCATAATATTCTTCATCATTTAAAATTTCAAGTAAATTTTGAGATAATTTCGGTAAAAGTTTATTATCATCCATGATTCAATAAATTTGTGATGATAATTTTGTTGATTCGATTAACCTATATATATAATTTCTGTTGCGGCTTGTTATGCAACGTTCAAGTAGCACGGATTATTATCGTAATCTGCATAAGAATATGTAAGTAATTTGTAAAGATTTTAAATGTGATTATGAGATCGCCACATAGTATACAATTCGTACCATGTAATAAGAAATTTAATGTTTGTCTATGGTATGCTTAAACAGGTTAGATTATCTAATACATAAATATACGAGTACAAGTATTTCTCTTTCAAATATAAGTAATATATAGTTATATAATATATATAAGCGAATTGTTCTCATGAGTTGCACAAATATGCAGATTAGTATGTTAAGACTTTCTGCGCTTACTTATCTGACGAAAGGATCATGAACTGATGAAAGGATCACTAGGTTTTGGAAAATAATCTCATTCAATAATTAACAATAATTAACTATGCACATATTATCGCTATATTTTACGTTTCAAATTAATTAATCCAATCCTTAATGAATACATAATATAATCATGAACTAAGTGAAAATTTAAGTAGTACATTGCCAATATAAGTTATTACAAATTGAGCTTTTATATGTTGCAAATATCTTTGGAAAATTAAACTCAAATTAGGCTCGATAATTATGATTATGCAAAATAATATAATTGCATAGATGACAATAATATGAAACGTCGTGATAATTTTCCGGATTTATTAGCTTTCAATAACCTTATACTGTACAAGATTCCCTTTTTCTAATGAACCTAAATATCTTAATATGGAAACTTTAAAATCATTTTTTAATAACTGGAATAGTGAATATTAAAGAGTACAAAATAAAAGAAATTGTAGAATAAGATTATCATTATTATGAAGATTTTTGGAATTACAAAATAATATGACCATACATGATATTAAATATAAAGAAATCATGAATAATGAATTATGTGGAAATGAAAATTAATATTTAATAAAACAATATATTTATGACATTAAAAATTATTACTAAATCTCTTAATTGGATAATTATTATTAATACCTTAGATAATTAATCATCTTTTTGTTTCGCTTCATCATTTTTATGTAATAATGTTAACTTACTAAAAATATAAAATAGACTCTTACATAACACCATATATTGTGTGATTGATTTTAACTCATCATGACACAATTATTATCAGTTAGCTCTTTTCATCTTTTCATTCCTTCAAAAAAAAATTTCAAAATTAATTAGTTATTATATTTTTTAAGATTAAATGATATAAATAACAACATAAACGTAATTATTGCTAGTTAATGTGAAGTTATAATTCATAAATTTATAAAAAATTTTGTCGTAAGGATATTCGCTTTAGGAAAATAAAAATAAAAATTTATGGACTAATTTTATAAAGAATATCTGAATCATTAATTGTAATTCATACTCGTGGTAATCTTCCTATTTCGGTAACAAATAAATTAACATTTAATGCAAGGAATTAAATAATGTAATTTACTTTATAAAAATTATTTAAGTATTGAATATACTGCTGAAAATGATGATACTGATTCAATTCGATTAATATGGAAATTTATTGAATTACTCAAGATCCAGAATCATTAAATTATATAATATATGGAACTTGGTAATTTAAGATCTAATTTAATGATAAAAAAACATTATCCTTATAATAAATATCATAATTTACGCCGAATAACAAAATCACTTTCAATATTACATAAATGTAATTTGTTTCATGGCGATTTCCCATAGTGGAAATTTAATTTTACGTAATTCTTATTTGATTTTATAAGTGATTTAGGATTAATTAGACCAGCAAATGAATCTACTAAACCGAATAAAAATTATGGTATAATTCCTTATAGTATATTTCTCCTACTGCGTGGCAAACCATATACCAAAGCTGCTGATATATATTCTTTAAGCATTATAACTCGTCAACTCGACAGTGAATTGTATAATTAATTCGAATGTTATAATTGCTTAATTTAAAGTACCAACTACTATACTAAATCATAATTTGTCTAAAAATTATTTGATATAAATCAAGTTATAAAAGAAATTTTCTCTAGTTTCTTCTTTTAAAAAAATTATCACTGGTATTCTGCAATAATAACGTACAAATCTTATCTCTTTCACTTGTGAATTAATTAAATTTATTTAATATTTACAAAGAATTTATATATTAATTAATGCACCAAATCAATTGCGATAATTTTAATTCAAAATTAGTTATACGAATATAAATATAATATAAATAATTACTCTGATCTCTTGTTAAGCTCTTTGGATCACGTGATTCACGTGATTTAGAAATTCAAACGTGATTGACCATGGCGTTTTTTTTTGATTTATGCACCTGCTGCACCTTTAAGTTCACCAATTAATCATCATGTTTATTTTTATTATGCATGGGCGGGACAAATGACAATTAACTCGTTTAGATATATATTTGTTTGTGAAAGAATTTGTTAACTGTTAAATCCATAAATTGCATTTTTAACAAAAAAAATTTAGTTTATCTCACATTATGACTTCTATTCAAGAAAACATAGTTTACGATGCAATTCATAGAGCATATGCATTAACAGATTATAATACTCAAGATACCTTAGACAAACAATTTGAATTTATGCAACAAACTATTCTTGATGATAAATCTCTTACAAAAGATGAAAAATCATATATAATAAAATTATTAAATGAAGATTTTGATTATTATAAAATTCTTCTTAATGAAGGAACAAAAAGAATTTGTGAAAATTGTCATGATGAATGTTTAGCTACATTATACTGTGAACATTGTGTTCGAAATTATTTAAAATCAAAATTTTCAAACTGGACATCTGGTAATAATGATATTGATAATTTAATACAACAATGTCAAATGGAAGCACTTAAATATTTAATATTTTTCAATTTATCATATGGTATCCATTCTACTATTCTATTTGGTTTAACTAAAGGTGGATGCTCCGAAATTTATACAGCATATTGGATTGATGGACGTTATGATGAATGGGATTCAAAAGAAAATCATTTAAAAAGATATAAAGAACATGATGTAATACTTAAAAAGTTAGAAAATGTTGAGAGTGCTAATAAAAGTTGGTTTGAAGAGGTATGTAATTTAAAATTATTTGAAAAGGTGACTAAAATAATTATTATATAGTAATATCCTTTATTTTTTTATAGGGTAAATTTCATTTATCTATAAGTAATAAATATATGATAGTCATATTGTTAAATGCTTTGGTATAACAAAAGATCCATCGGATAGAAATTATCTGCTTGTAATGTATAAATTGAATAATAATTTGAGAGAATATTTACATCAAAATCATAATAAACTTACATGGAAAAGAAGAATTCAAATTATTAATAATATAGTATTTGGTGTATCTAAAATTCATGAAGAAAATGCAATTCACAGAGATTTGCATTCTGGAAATATATTATTTAGTAAAACAAATATTCGTATAAGTGATCTTGGATTTTGTGGACCAGTCGATAAACCATTAAATAGTATATATGGAAATCTTCCTTATATAGCTCCTGAAGTTATTGGAAAAATGAAATATTCTTTTGCATCTGATGTCTATAGTATTGGTATGCTCATGTGGGAAATCTCATCTGGACAACCACCTTTTGTTTATAAACATGATTATGATCTTGCACTAAAAATAATAAATGGAATGAGACTGAGAATAATACCGGAAACTCCTTTAAAATATAAAGAACTAATGGAACAATGTTGGGATGCTGACCCAACAAAAAGACCTGATATCGATACTCTTTATGATGAAATGGAATCTTTATATAGATCATATCTCAATAATGAAAATGATGAACAACAGACAAATACAAGCATAGATAACTTTCAATTAAATACAAATATTAATATTAGTTCTACCAATTCTATTAACTCCTTTTTTAGAAATTCAAGCAGTAGAGTTTATTATTTTAAGGATTTGCCTGAACCAAGAAATGCAACAAAAGGTAAAAAAAAATTTATTTACCAAGATTAGTTAATATCATAATAACCGTTCATCTCTATTTTTATTTATTAATAGAAGAACAAGAAGGTAATCATCAATATTTGTCAAAACAAATTATACATGGAAAAGTATAGTATTTATACGTTTGTTTTATAGCTCATCATAGTATACAATTTGACTTTGATTTACAAGATGGCATGATTACAGGTAATAATTAATACATAATTTTGAAATTTCTTAATTGAAATGATAATTTAATAGTTTATTTATTTTTTTAAGAAGTAAAAGAAAAATTTAATAAAAGAAGTTACTTTAATGGTAATCAGTCATTTTATGAATTTTTATCAGCAGTAAGTAAAACAATTAATTTTCTATTACTTAAAAGTAGAAGGACAAGATGATTTGACTATTAACCCTAAGAAAGTAAGGTTGAATAATAGTAATTATAAAGGTAATTATTTCTAGATCACAAAAATTATTTTAGAATTACTACACATGTAATAAAATAGGATACTTAAAATTAGATGATGATAAAATATATAATCCCAATTTTCATTTAGAAGAACAAGATGAATTAAAAGTTTCTGACTGTAAGCATATTTTTAGAATATCTTCTTACATACTATGATTAATATTAACTTATAATAACCAAATAAACAATTTTTAGGTAAGATGAGTCTAAACTATCTATTAAACTAAATTTATTGTTAAGAATTATTTAAACACTAAGGTTTAGAGTAGCAATATTTGCAAGTTTCTTAGTTTGTAATTTGAATAATTCACTTATTTATAAGTATACATATGATTTAATAAATTTATAAAATTAAATAAATCATGTAATGTGTAATATCATAAAAATTTGCTATTTTTAAACTTTTATAATAGATAAATAAAACGATCACAACTGTAAGTAAGTACTTTACTGAAACTTGTGAAATCGGGACTGTGTAGTAGCTATGTAGCTGCTATATATATTATAAAAAAGTAGTAGGCGTATTGCTATTTTATGTTTAACGTAGAGTATCCATATGGAGCAAATATAAAAATACTGTGAATAATTTAGATAGTCCAGCAAGTTTATATGTAACAAATACAATGTAAAAATGTAGTTTAAGTGTAGCTTATGTAATGCAAAAATGTAGTTTATTTAATGCAAAAATATTGTTTATTTAAAGTAATATTACAGTTTACTCAAAGTTATAATACAGCTTCATTGTATCAACTATCTAAATCTATATTACATCTATATTAAATCTATATTAAATCTATATTAAATCTATATTAAATCTATATTAAATCTATATTAAATCTATTTTGTATCGATATTAATCTATACTAAAAAAAAAGAAAAAAGTTAAGAAAATCTTTTTTCTAAAGTTTCGAATCCCTTTTTTCAAAACTATACTTGGGATTTTGGTTTCCAAGCTGGAGCCAACTTCTCTACAAAAAAAAGGAAAAAAATTAAAAAAAATCTTTAAGTTTCAAATTCCTTTTTTTCGAATCTTACCTATCTCATGCGAGTGTCTAACTAAGAGTTAGTTCACCAAGATCCATGTCTGAGCCGCCTAAAAAAAAGGAAAAAAGAAGAAATTAGCAACTGTTTTTAAAAGACGAAATAAAGATGGAATAAAACAAAAAAATAATACTCCCACTGATGTCCCGCATCCAAAGAATTTAAGAACCGTCTAAAAAGAAAAAAAGAACAGTTAGAAAATGTTCATCAAAATAAAAATCAAGAAAAAAAATAACAAACTTACTGATATGCCACATCTGGAGAGACCAGAAGAACAGGACCCGGATATCTCCAAAACAGGTCATAAGTCACACTTTCGGCAGATTGGCCCATTTTTTAGGGGCTCAAAAAATCGTTTTTTGTAAATATCTCGGCATCCAGTGGTCCAATTTTGATGAACTTTTTTTTAAATTGTAGAGCTAAATGAGGGCTACAAAATAAAAAATAGTTCATTAAAATTGAATTACTGGATGCTGAGATATTTACAAAAAACGATTTTTTGAGTTTTAGCAAAAAGGGGTGTTTTTGGCCAAAAGTCCATTATGACCTTTACAGTGGCTCTCAAAAGATTTGCATCACCGAAAAAAAAATTTTTAATTTTTAATATCTCGTGACCTAATCATGGTTAACGACTGAAATTTAAAAATCTAAAAATAGAAAACTCGGGCTATCTAAAAATAAAGTTTTGCATTAATTGATTGGCTAGTTTTATAATCACATGATATTTAATCCAAAAACCCTGATGCATTTCTTTTGATCGGGTTTGATCTTCTTCAAAAATTAAATTTTTACAAGAATTAGCCATACTTTTTATGATAAATTAAATGACAAATTAAGTAATATATGACTAATATTATTAAATAATTTTAAAAAAAATCAGCAATTCCAGTAATTTGTTCTTTATCTATTTAAATAATATACACAATAATTACTATGTTACTTATAAATTTAGTATAAAGTTTATTGCAAATAAAATGTTAAGGAGAATTCCTATGACAAACCCATAGCAAAATTTAAGTTCTCCTTGTTAAGAGGATTAATCAGAGCTAAATTTCGCGCATATCGGACCAGTAGATGCGCAGAAATTAAGTGTTAAAGATCACCAATAATTTTCATTTTACATATGAGGTAGATCATTTCAATATGTAAAATGAAAATTATTGGTGATCTTTAACACTTAATTTCTGCGCATCTACTGGTCCGATAAACGCGAAATTTAGCTCCGATTAATCCTCTTAACAAGGAGAATTTAAATTTTGCTATGGTTTTGTCATAGGAATTCTCCTTAACATTTTATTTGCAATAAACTTTATACCAAATTTATAAGTTACATAGTAATTATTGTGTATATTATTTAAATAGATAAAGAACAAATTACTGGAATTGCTGATTTTTTAAAATTATTTAATAATATTAGTCATATATTACTTAATTTGTCACTTAATTTATCATAAAAAGTATGGCTAATTCTTGTAAAAATTTAATTTTTGAAGAAGATCAACCCCGATGTAACCTGAGAAATCAGGGTAATTACGTGAGCGGATGAATAAAAGACCGAATGGAACAAGGATAAATAATTAACCGACGGATAGATAATTAGCCGAAGGATAAATAATTAATCGATAAAATAATATTTATAGTTTAGTTTAGTTTAGTCACGAGATAGTCATATGATAATACATCTTTATTTTCTTATTGTTCTTAAATTTTTATTAGTAGAAAAGTTAGAAATAGTAGAAATAATTTTCTTAAAAATGTATAAATATAGGTGGGATTCGTTAGGAATTCCGCAGTCAGTTGTTGACTCAAATTTAATAAAATAAATATTAATTATTAAAAGTTATCTTGAATATGCTCATTGTACGCTTGAGAATTAATTAATATTATATTATTAAGTCCAGAAAAGTAAAGTAAAAGAAGTTATTCTCATTTTGTTGTATGAAATATCACAGGTCAAAATTAGTTAAATAGGGTATCAATAGGTTATCAATAGGTTATCAATCGGCTATCAATAGGCTACCCTATTGGTAGCCTATTGAACTTTCGCCATAATCCTTCACCAATTGGGCAGGCTGATTGTTAGCCAATTAATAACTTATTGATAACCTATTAGTATCCTATTGGTATTTTTATCAAATTGGTTATCAATAAGGTATTAATAGGTTTTCAATAGGTTATCAATCAGCCTGCCCGATTGGTGACGGATTATGGCGTAAGTTCAATAGGCTACCAATAGGGTAGCCTATTGATAGCCGATTGATAACCTATTGATAACCTATTGATACCCTATTTAACTAATTTCGACCTGTGTATAATAAGAAGTTAGGAGAACTCTCGCAGTTATAAGAAATAAAGTGGTAATATTTGAAAGAATAAATATTACATAAAGAATAATATTTTGGGAATATTATGAATGAGTGGTAGTATTGAGAATAGATACTATGGATATATGAGAAAGAAAGCGAGAAGTTAAAAGAAAAGTAAAATCTAAACCAAGCGAAATAATGAGAAATAAAGTTGTAATGAGAATGATGTGTTTATCCACAGGTGGCAGACGTGGGTGACACCGATCAAAAGAAATGCATCAGGGCTTTTGGATTAAATGTCATGTGATTAGAGAACCAGCCAATCAATTAACGCGAAACTTTATATTTAGATAGCTCGAGTATTCTATTTTTAGATTTTTAAATTTCAGTCGTTAACTATGATTAGGTCATGAGATATTAAAAATTAAAAATTTTTTTTTCGGTGATGCAAATCTTTTGAGAGACACTGTATATTAGATATCCAGGGTTCTAGAAGAACCGTCTAAAAGAAGAAAAAATTGAAACGTTAGAAAACATTTCATTAAATAAATAGTTAAAGAAAAAAATGCTTACCGAAATCCACATCAAGAAGTTTGAAAAATAGGTCACCTAAAAAGGAGAGAGTAATGTTAATAAACATTTCTCAAAAAATAGTTCAAAAAATAAATCTTCACCCACCAAATTATCACGCGTATGTTCTTTGTAGGCTGGTGAGAGATTGTAAAACTGAAAAAATAAAATAATTAATATAAAGTTACGAAATTAAAATAATAAATTTCTCATTCTTACAAAAATCAAACTTTTGCTCAATGAGAATTGTTCTGTCAACCACTGTTCCCGGATGACAATTGCCTAATTTATCGCTGTCACGTGGTTCAGTTGGCGTAAATCTGGTATGATGCCTCTTTTGCAATATAATACTATATATTACAGCTATTTTCTAAATTATTGATCCCCTCCCCTGTTATTTTTAAAAAATTTTTCAGACACAGTCAGACGCAATCAGACGCAGTTAGACACAGTCAGACACAGTAATTCGGGCTGACTTATAGTGCCGGCCGGAATTATGAGTCATGTGGTTACACAAATTCCAAAAAAAGGAAATTTTTGAATTTGCAAAAATCACAAAATATTTTTTGTGGAATGGGTATCATCCAAAAAGGAAATAATATCGTGTTAAATTTCCATTTTGGACGATACCCATTCCACAAAAAATATTTTGTGATTTTTGCAAATTCAAAAATTTCCTTTTTTGGAATTTGTGTAACCACATGACTCATAATTCCGGCCGGCACTATAAGTCAGCCCGAATTACTGTGTCTGACTGTGTCTGACTGCGTCTGATTGCGTCTGACTGTGTCTGAAAAATTTTTTAAAAATAACAGGGGGGAGGTCAATAATTTAGAAAATAGCTATAACATTCTCTTTATCATTTTTCCTTGTTGTTCTACAATATTAAGTAGATTTCCATAATCTACTGGGTCTTTTGACTTAACTCCTACAATATTATCTTTTCTTGGTCCACGTTTTCCTCCTGCTTCTTTCCATCTATTTATTCCTTCCATTGTGTTATAATATTCTCCTCTCTTTTTACTCCATTTATATCTTTTTGGAATATTCGTATTATCTGGTCCTATTGGTCTATTATACATTGGTTGTTCATCTTCCTTTTCTTCCATTGGAGTTTCTTCTCTATTCCTATATTTATAATCTTCTTTCCCTCTTTCCACAATATCTTTATCCAAATTTGGCTTTCCAAAATTTTTCC